ATTTAATTCTTATAGTTCAAATTAAAAAAAGAAAACAGTGAACCGTAAACGCATTGGTGATCAAGTATTTATTAAGATTAATAAAATAATAAAAAAATTCTTCAAAAATTAATGATATCGCACCAAAAAAATAAACGTGAATAGGGAACCAAGTTAGCTACAAAGACATTTGGGATTGTCAATAAAAGAGTTTAGATGTGAACGGACGCCGTGCTCCATAGTAGTTCCAAGAACGTACGCGCCTATTCAGATCTCAACTGTTTCATCGGCGAAGCTGAACGTTGTTTGTAGCGAACTTGGTCCTCTTTTCACATTTTTGTTATTCTACTCATTATTTTTGATATCACAGGTTATATTAAAAAAATTATTGATTTTTTTAGACTCTAGACCGAAAAAGTTAGGCGCTATGAATATACAGTCTGTATAGTTAAGGGTTGTGGTAGTTAGCAATGTTCGCTCACGTATGTACATTATTGCCCACTAATGATAATAATTTTCACGGTCGAGTAAGTCCAGTCGGCGGTTGGACCTTATTATAATAAATTAACGGCGGCAGTACCCTAATGGGTCTCGTTCGACTCGTAATTACACTCAATGTTACGAACTGCTAAAGGGACTTTAAAAAATCACCAGTTTGCGTAGTCAGGGCAATTAGCAATCAAGGTTGTTAAAACCTTATGAGAGACGCGTTTTTATTCGCTTAAATGTGCTTACTTGTCTTATTATTTAATGACAATGAAATTAGTGGGTTTCCTAGGTTTAAAAAAATATGAAATCTTAATTATACGTGATATTTAGCTGTCTTGAAATATTTTATGTACAAAAAAGCATATCATGTAATAAAATATTGTTTCAAATATTAAAAATGTCAACTTATTAACCCTTTCGCTGTCCCGTGCACTATATATATGGCACAGCTATTGTCTTACTATTGTGTCTGGATATGGCACAGCTATTGTCTTACTATTGTGTCTGGAAACCGGACAGTGATTAGTGTTATTGAATCAGGAACATGTTAAAAGTGATTAAAAGTGATTAAAAGTGTATTTTACTTTATTCATTTGTCCTTAAGCTGTATAAAAATTAAAAAACGACTAAACAAACTAGCATTTGCAGTAGGCTATACAAATACTTGATCCGTGCGAAACTTATTAGCCGCAGCACTGCAGCCAAACGTTACCGAGCCGTAACTCAGATATAATACTAATTAGATGCTTACCCATGAAATTGTTACATTCAAATACTGGCTAGTTAAAAGTTGGACATCTTGCAATAGAACGGGTTTTCCAAATCAAAGAATATCCAATGTTAAAGCTACGACATTGCTATAAAAAGCTACTAACTTGTTCATTTGTTTTCCCGCTTTTTGTCGTTTCTGTAATATCGCTGTATCTGTAATCATGATAATTAGGCTATTTTTTTAAATAACTAACGATCTGTATGGACTCGAAACTGTATTTTCAGTTTGATCACTTCCGTTCTGGAAATTTTGACCTCAACAACAAGTCCGTGGACGATAAAGCCGATAATGACTAATTGAAACATATTGTGAAAATGAATCATCACAAGTCATTTCAGCAACGCCCTAAAGATTAAGTGTAATATAAATGTGATAATTTTGCTGTGTTTCAGAACAAGGCATTCCATCTTATTCCTCAGAGGTGACAACTCACCTTTATTTTTATTCTTAATCAAGTTGTCTGTGCACCGTATTATCCACTAACCACCATGTTCTCATTTCTATTCAATAAATGCCAACATATCAGAATCGTGTTTTATGTAAAGAAACATACATTATACTTACGTATTTTTGCGACACTTAAGATTCACGTTTTAAATATTTTAGAATAGTAATAGTTCTAATACACGATTTTAGGATTTAAATTTTGTTGAAATGTGTAATATGTATTTTATACGTGGTAGAGCCATGCTGCAGCTATATTAGTAGTATAGTTGTAGCGCGAATGGGTCGGCTCGACCGGGGAAGGACCACGCTCTCACAGAATACCAGCGTAAAATAGCAAACACTGCTATGTTTCGTATGGTGAGTGTAAAGAACCGGAGACCCTTTTTATTGGAAAAGAGGCATTCCATCTTAGTCCTCACGGGTGACGACGCATCTGCATTTTTCAGATTCACAAACGAGCATAGATGTAGATGTCTATGGGCCACAATAACCGCTTACCATCAGGTGGACTGTGTCCTCGTTTGTCACCCTATCCTATAAAAAAAATGTATAATAACTGTAGGTAAATACCTACTTGGACAAACAGTTGTGCAGTTACCAAATTTCAACATAGGACGAGTATCTTTTCGTCTTTTCTCTTTACACTTGCAAAAGCATCATCTTCATCTTTTTCCTCTTCTAACAAAAGATACAAAAATAAATCGCGATCGCTATTTTCAAACACGTCAGACATCATGTCCCATAGAACACTCGGAACAGACTGGAACACGGGCTGCCGCCGCCTGCGGTCGGGTTCGGAATCATGACTGCAGCGACATGACGTCACCACATGTCGCTGCAGTCTGACTTCGATTGCTGCTTCTTTGCAGGCAGCAGCAGTCGGCTACGGAACTGTACCTTAAAACTAATCGGGAAATCGGCAAGAAACACATCATCATTGTAATATGCATTTCCGGGACCTTAACGGTGCTTCGTTTTATATAAATACACAGTGATTTTAAAACATAGATTTACGCGTTATTACTCTAGTGTTAAATCCATATAAAGTGTACGGAGCACGTCAGAGCGACGTGGGTGTGTGGCAAACCGCAAACGCTCCTACACTCGACTGCCCTAATACCCTACTCATTATGTTTATAATCCTCGAATCGCTGCTTGCGGACCTTTGGCTGAGAAGCCAACTTTGTTACGTCGTTTATGAGCTTATTTTACTGTATAAATATTTACAAACGTGTTGCATGGCTTCCAAATGTATTTATTATTGATGCCCTTCAATAAATTTGGGTTTATTCAGATTAGTGTATATTATTAATCTCATTTATGCTGAGCAGTGCGGTACTTTTTCTCATTATAGTGTACCCTAAAACGCTATAATGGAAATCGTCAGAAAGAATATGGCTAATGATAGTTGACTGTATAATCATCTCGTATATACCAGATGTGAAATATCCAAACCGAGGACGGGTAGCAGCGACATAGTTGCAAGAGTTCTGGTACTATAATAGCTAATTCAGGGTAGGCGTATTGACTACATCATATTTTTCTTACTATGGGAAAAGGCTGTGTCCAGCTGTAAACAGTCACGTGCTGCCTAAGAGGGTATCTGAGCTGCAAGTAGTCTTAAGAATAGTTTTTAATGATGTATTGTTGTAGCGGTGTGCCCGAACGCTCGAACTAGACAACGAGAGACAACTGTAGCTCGAACTGATTGTAATTTGTTCGTAAATTTATTTGCCGGATGTCTCATAACGGCGATATAAATGAGCAGTTTGAGTAATTTGAGGAGGTTTCATTTTTTCATTAGTTAATTTTTGAAAAAAAAAACATAGGAACATGTCAGTGGTAGCTCTAGTGTCATTTCCAAAGGATAAAACAGGAAAATCCTCTTACCATATTAATTGTATAAATATAAATCAACCCATTAAATCCCACGAGTGTCGTAAAAGCCTAGGGATTGTTTTTTACGACTTCGTCATTTTTCTCAGTCTTAAGAATAAGACAATTGGATATAAATGGGTATTTATAAGAACGCGTCAAAGAAGGCACACATATCTTAAAGGATTTGCCTATGAGAATTCACTTACTTTACATTTAATGAGTCTTATTAATACGGCCTTTAAATTTAACTAAGCTTTAAAAAGTTTGCTAAACAAAAGACTGATGGGAATCGCGTGCAACGTACAATCGTGAAAGTGTAAGGCGAGTGTTGGAGGAAATGAGTGCGGCGGCCGACCGCAGGAAGCCTTACTGAAGCACGGCTTCGCAGGTTCGAGGCCACGTACGTTGCTTTTGATACAACTTTTAGCTTATTTTAACAACTATATTATTTCTACATTACTCAATTGTGAAATGAAACATCGTAATTTTACGCACTTACATATTTTACCGTTTATGATAGTGTCAATATCAAAAATAATATATATAAAAAAGTATTATAAATCCGTGATTTATATACCCAGTTAATATATTTGCATATGTATCATTTTACTTTATTATATTAAAGCATATTTTAATCATAATACTATCGTTATGTCGTCCTAATTCGTTGATTTAATACCCGGTAGAGAAAGAAATAGCATAAGATCGAACGAAATATTAAATAGGAATAAAAATAACGAGACAGGTCATACCCCTTAAGTTATATAGAAATACAGTGAAGTAAAAAGCTTATGAAATAGCCTTATTCAAAAACTCAACGTCAATATAAGAAATGCATAAAACTGCAGAAACTGCAACCCCTGGTGTTACAGTTGTTCATGGGCGGCAGTCATTTACCAGCAGGTGAGCCGCATGCTCATTTGCACCTTCTTACTTGTGCAAATGAGCATGCGGCTGAAAATCTGTTCTCTCTCCCTATCTCCACTAAATGACAATAGAGAAGGACAATTAAAATATACTTCAGTAAAGTAAGCGATGATCAACGATTTTGTGTACTTAGATGATTCAATTTAGGATTTGTTATAAAATTCCGTGGGTGTCGTAAGAGGTTACAGAGGGAAATGGAACAGGACATGGGCAGCAATACCTTGCAGCTAACAGCTGAATAAAACTGCTGTTGCCAACCCTCTTGTCAAGCGTGCCAACTTGGCAAATATTGGCCTTATCAGCCAATCCATGAACTAGGCCTTTATTACTGTACAGGTCTCCCCTCTAGATATATTAATTATATAACGGTAACGTGTAAAGTTTTACAATAGTTATAAATTTCCAACTTAAAGTGATATTAAACATAAAATTTTCAAAACATATGTTTACTCTTCATTTTATTGCAATTTATATGTAGAAGTAACAATTTTATTTTTGCATTGCGCAGGGGTAAAAGATGACTCGGACGACGTATCAAGTAAGAGTTGCGGAGGCGACGCATCGGGGCTCGCTAAGAAACAAAGAAAAGCGCGAACAGCCTTCACTGACCACCAGCTGCAAACCCTGGAGAAATCTTTCGAGAGACAGAAGTATCTTAGTGTGCAAGACCGAATGGAGCTTGCAGCTAAGCTGGGCCTCACAGATACTCAAGTCAAGACGTGGTATCAAAATCGACGGTAAGTTTTTATAGACATCATTATCATAATCAAAAGCAGCAGCAGTAGAAGCCATTAAGACTTCAGAAGGGTATGATCCGATATACTCTTACATAATCAATGCTCTCACTGGTGAAAAATTCGTTCCGTTATGGACCGCCAGTATACTTCCGCAGTACCCTATGGAAATATATGACGTCATAAATCGCCGACATTTTTCTATTGTGAGCACTAGCGCTTTCGAGGTAAGGTGCTCTCAGTACTTTGATCACGTGATCAAAAAACAACAGCGCCTAGAGATTTAACAGCTTCCACGAATGATTGTTATTATTAATAATTAATATTGTTATTCAAATAAACTCGGACATTGAGTTTTATAAGCAACAATATTCAAATAATATTTTTTCTTGTTGAACAGAAAACGTGTACATGATAAATATTTTCATTTTGAAACAGTGTCGAAAAATGGGGATCACAGTATACTGGACTGCGTTCCGTTTTAAACAGTAACCGGTATAACAAACTAAGAAGGAACGGCTTCACAGTATACTGAATTGACGTCACACCTTACAGTAATCACAGTGTATATCGGAACATAGCCTAAGTAAGATCTGTTTTTGTTAGGAAAAAGTAAATATTATTAGTATATTACTAGCGGCGCACCGCGACTTCGCCGTCTCGTCATCTTTAATGTAGCGTCATTTAGGTTTTTTAAAATAATCATGACCATTTATTAAATAATTTTTTCGATTAGAAAAAAATACTCGAAGTTTTTCGTTTAAAATATAGCCTAGATCACTCCTGGTGTTGGCATTACTCTCCTGTTCGTGAAGTTCCACACAATCGGTTCAGCCATTCCGAAGATTAACTCGGACAGAGAGACGGACAGACAAACAAATGTATATTCATGTCTTAATGACATGCAAGTAACCCACTGAACTTGATAAAAGGTAGTTATTTCGATACTACAGACACGCATCAATTTTATTTATATTTATGAGTTGTGATTGCCTTTTGACATTTTCTAAATCAACGCAGTCTCCGATGGAAAAAGTAAAAATGTTGAAAATAAAATGAAAACAGCAATTCTGTCTATTATTATTACTAGAACTTATTGGAATGAAAACAAATGTAGCTTGATAATTAAGCATATGTATATACTTTATTATCAAGATGTATATGTATCATGGGCATGCATAATTTATGAAAATACTAGCGATCCGCATACTACGAATTAACTTAATCACACACAAACATTCTTTACGTGGTCGAGCCATGCTGCAGCTACATTAGTAGTATAGTTGTGGCACGAATGGGTCGGCTCGACCGGGGAAGTACCACGCTCTCCCAGAATACCAGCGTCAAATAGCAGCTTAACGCTGCTGTGTTTCGTATGGTGAGTGTAAAGAACCGGAAACCCATTTTACTGGAAAGGCATTCCATCGTGGTCCTCACGGGTGACAATGCATCTGCATTTTAATTTATTATAGAAGATAAATGTAGATGTCTATGGGCTGCAGCAACCACTTACCATCAGGTGGACTGTGTGCTCGTTTGTCACCCTTATCCTATAAAAAAAAATAATCAAAATTGGTCCAGCCGTTTAGGAAGAGTTCAGTCACATACACATATTATGACATATGAAAAGCCCTGCCAATATTAATTAACAACTGATAACTACCTGAAAAAGCTATTCGTGACTCACGCACTAGTCTTTTAAGGACTGTTCCATTCGGTGATTTCATATGTCTTAAATATAAGATTACAGTTGAAACAGTAAAGGAATACAAAAGAAATCTTTGAAATATAAACGAGTTCTTAACTAATTATCAGAAAAAGAGCTGGTTTCTGATGATGTTTGTGCTGTTAGCCTTTTGGCTACAGCTTCACTAGACTCAGGGCCGAAAAATGCGGCCGGTGGAAAGAAAAGGGGAGATTCCCGTCGGGAGAGGCAGAGGTGTTCTTGCGGCCAACGCTCCTAGTGGTCTCTGGTTTCTGATGATGTTTGTGCTGTAATCTTACAGGGCTCTTACAGCTTCGTCAGACTCAGGGCTCGCGGCCGGTAGTTCGGAGCTATTCTATATATACTGCTTCTACGTCAGAACTTTGATAGCGCGATTTAGGCTTCGATGTATTTTCACTTGTGGCGTGACGACAACGCCGCCACAAAAACAATCAACTCTCTTTTCCATATTCTTAATATAAAAAGTAGGGAAAGAACAACAAAAAAATTAAGGAGAGAATAACTAGCATAAAATCTAATATTACGAGTATGTCTCTGTTTCATATTAAAACATTTAAAGCGCGAGCGAATTTCACAGATAACCAAATGTATATAATTGATTTGAAATTTTTTATAATTGATTTGTTGAAAAGGCTCTCTAGCTCGTTAAGAATATGAATGATGATTCCGTTTTTGCACCATTAATATTTAGGGTAGTAAATTATATATTGGCTATTTATTTTAAAAACGATAAAACTATTTTTTATTCAATTTAATATCCGCTTGATTTAGCGATGAACTTACTTCGATTGTTGATTGAAATGATAACGTTTGAATGAAAATTAAGGAAGATTCGGATATATTTTAGTACTAGGAATACTTTAGGAATTTCTGTAAGCCATCACTACCATCTCTGCACAGGGAGGATGACTCACTGGCCCATGACGCAAAAGACAAAGCCGACCTTTTAGGCTCCCTTTTTGCGTCCAACTCGTCTCTTGATGACGGGGGGAAAACACCGCCGACCATCCCGCGGTGTGAGTGCTCCATGCCGGATGTGCTGTTCTCACAGCGCTCGGTTCGCAAAGCACTACTCTCCCTGGACATCCAGAAGTCGAGTGGGCCTGACGGAATCCCCCCAATTGTGCTGAGGACGTGTGCTCCGGAGTTGGCACCGGTCCTAACGCGTCTTTTCCGGTACTCCTACTCCCAAGGCGTAGTCCCGAATTCATGGAAGACAGCTTTTGTCCACCCGATCCCTAAAAAAGGCGACCGCTCAGACCCATCCAACTATAGGCCTATCGCGATCACCTCCTTGTTCTCCAAAATAATGGAATCCATTATTAACTGCCAGCTCATCCGGTACCTTGAGGATCACGAGCTGATTAGTGACCGCCAATACGGTTTTCGTCGGGGTCGATCAGCTGGTGATCTTCTTGTCTACCTGACCCATAGATGGGCGGAGGCAGTAGAGTCCAAGGGGGAGGCGTTGGCCGTTAGTCTGGACATTGCGAAGGCCTTCGATCGGGTTTGGCACAAAGCGCTTCTTTCGAAGCTCCCTTCCTATGGGCTTCCCGAGAAATTGTGCAATTGGATCACCAGCTTCCTTGCAGATCGGAGCATCAAGGTCGTTGTAGACGGTGCATGCTCTGACTACAAGCCTATTAACACTGGCGTTCCACAAGGCTGTGTGCTATTACCAACGCTGTTTCTTCTGCATATCAATGATATGTTGCTAACTGGTACCATTCATTGCTATGCGGATAACAGCACTGGTGATGCTCTATACACCGGCCGTGCCAATATTTCTCGGGAAAACGTCGCTGAGTACCGGAACAAACTTGTGTCTGAAGTCGAGTCTTTGCTGAGCAAAGTCTCGGATTGGGGGCGACTAAATCTAGTCCAGTTTAATCCTCAGAAGACACAAGTTTGCGCGTTTACCGCTAAAAAGAACCCCTTTTTCGTATCTCTTAAGTTTCAAGGCACTCCCCTTCTTGCCTCAGCCAGTATCGGTATCCTCGGAGTCGACATATCGAGTGGCGTGCAGTTTCGTGGTCACTTGGAAGGGAAGGCCAAATTGGCCTCTAAAAAGCTTGGCGTGCTCAGCAGAGCGGGACAGTATTTCATGCCGGCACACCGCCTGCAACTTTACAAGGCGCAAGTTCGGCCTCACATGGAATACTGTTCCCATCTCTGGGCAGGGGCTCCCCAGTGCCAGCTCCTTCCACTTGACCGCATCCAACGCAGAGCTGCTAGAATCGTCGACGACCGAGCCCTTTCCGATCGGCTCGATTCATTGGCACTGCGAAGAGATGTTGCATCCCTTTGCATTTTCTTTCGCATCTACCATGGGGAGTGCTCTGAGGAATTGTTCGGATTAATCCCAGCCGCCAAATTTCACGAACGCACATCGCGGCAGAACTCCCGATACCATCCACACCATCTGGATGATTGGCGGTCCACCACTGTGTGATTTAGAAGATGTTTTCTTCCTCGCACGACCTCCTTGTGGAATCGATTACCATCAGCGATTTTTCCGGACCGATACGACTTAGGGACCTTCAAGAAAAGAGCGTACTCCTTTTTAAAAGGCCGGCAACGCATCTGCGATTCCCCTGGTGTTGCAGTTGTTCATGGGCGGCGGTAGTCACTTACCATCAGGTGAGCCGCATGCTCGTTTGCCCCCTCTCTTATAAAAAAAAAATAAAAAGAAAAAAAAACTACGATGCTCTCTTTATCGAGAAGTAAAAGAAGGTGCTTGGATTTGTAATATAGAAGAACATAGTAACTCGAAGAACCTACAATAATTGTGCAAGAAAGGTCCTCGAATGGCTGCTGCTTCTTACAGGCACATAACAAGTGTATGGCAGCCCCCACTGGAAGGAGTACGAAATCAAGGAAGTCAATGGATGCAGATGGCTCAGGGAAGTGTTTTGAAGCATTGCTTGGGTAGAGCGGGGTGGGGGCAGTGTTCGTTAATGTAACTTACGAAAAGGTGCCAGTATAAAAATGTACATCAGTAATAATCACAGTCATTATTTTGGTCAGGACAATGAGCTATAAATACATTAGTAGCTTAAAAAGTTAGTTTAGTTCTTTAAAAAAATCTCTTCCTTTAATTTTGGAAGTAAACAGATAATATACGACGTGCGAATAGGTACTGATTATTTGAACTTTATAATTAACAATTCAGTTTTTTTTAAAATAAAAGTAAATACCGATGATATTGATAATAATGATTTTTACCACATTTTTATTATATCCCTTTCGTGTATATATATGTTCGGGTGGAATTTAG